GGAAAAACTAGAACAAAAGAAAGAAAATGAAAAAAAAAGATGAAGCAGGCCTGGCCCTCGGGCGTGAGTGTGGCTGTGTGCGTCCCACTGGGTCCCCGTCTAGCCTCTAGGTGCACCATGCTCTCTACCCGTGTACTATGGCCATGTGGTCCAATGCCAGCCCATCAAGAGGACGCTCGGCAGTTTAATCACGTCCGACTGGTGATTCCTGGGTACCGTAGGATTCATTTACCATTATTTTTATTTTATTTCGACAAGATCATTGTTTACTCAGAGAAAAAATAGATATTGATCTTTTTTAGGAGAAAAAATATTGATCTGACGTAAAAGATGATCAAGAGCTATATCCTGGGCCTGCAGACCACTTATTTTCAGCCCTTCCAACGATTATGGATCTACGGACCTAGGCTTAGAACATCCGGCTATATTCATCTGTGGGCCGAAATATTTAAGTTTTCAAGCTGATGGGCGTCGCTGGACGACGAAGTTACTAATAACGCAAAGTTAGTTGCGCTGCCGGTCGCGCGCTACTTCGCGTAGCTCTGCGACCTCCGCGCAGTATTTGACCCGGTGGCCTGACTGCCATTCCGATACATGTGTGGGTCAGCCCATGTAAAATAAACATAAAAGCTCCAATGGGTTTGCTTCAAATGCATGAGCTTGAGAAAGTCATATGCCTTACATGAACACGAATGTTGTTATGTGGCCTGCACGCGGCCTGGCCCAGTTTTTTTTCCTCTTTAGTTTTTATTATTCTTTTATTTTTTTTATCCTTCTTTTATTTACCTTTTCTTTTTTAATTTCTTTTCATTTTCTTTTTTTTTGGTTTCATTATATATTGTCAATTTCAATTTGATCTTCTTGTTATCAATTTTAGTTTTATTTCTATGTTTCATTTTTTCAGTTTCAGTCTTGTTTTTTAGTGTTTGTTTAGTTTCAGTTTTCAGTCAAATTTCTTTAATGTTTTTTTAGTTTCAGTTTTCAGTCCAGTTTTTTTTTAATATTTTTTCAGTTTCAGTTTTCATCACCTTTTTTTTTATAGGCTCGAATGCTTTCCTAAATCCTCGCATATTAGTTGCCTCACCTACAAATATGAGTTGTCACATAAGGGTAGCAATTGCACACATAAAATTGCCATAAAAGAAAAGCACATACACACAAGGTAGATTGGGTTGGGATTAGGGGTCGCAACAAGTATTAGGATTACAGGTTGCAGCAGGTATCAGAATTAGGGGTCGCAAATTGGGTTGTAGAATAACTTGGCCCGAGTTGGCAGCTTAATGTTTTATGCTTATTATAATAATTTGTCCCTCGTTGAGTACTACATGGTAGCAACTTTAGTACTACATATGGTAGTAAAACTCCGTTTAATATTTTGCTCCCAAGCTTGTGCATATTATGTGACAACTTTACTCGTATTTTGGAGAGCAACTTTAATATTACATGGTAGTAATTCATTTAATAAATCTCTTAGCACGATATTACACATAAATTGCTACTAAAATAAAATCCTTCAAACATATGCAAGTTTTTTCTCCTGAAGCGCGACCGGTCGTGGGTTAACTCTAGTCCTGCTAATAATGTGCCCTGTTTTACTACCTTGGCATTTTATCCCTATACCTCATCATCTATCTAGAAATTGACATTAGAATTTTAGCTCCATACTGAACAAGTGCTCACAACTGAATTATTTTTTTTCTGTTTCCCACTGTTTTGGTAGGAGAAACGATGAATCCAGAGGTCCCAGTTTATTGATTAGCTTTATATATTATTTATTTATTAGTAAATATGCCCCTGCGCTGCAACGGAGGAAAAAAAAACTACATGAACGAAAAAATGAAGACACGACGAGTGTTACATACCTAATTATTTATATTTTGTTATTTCAATAAAAATTTTAAACTATAATTTATTTTATGATGGATTCATAGTGTAAGTTAACATTGGTATCACAATATCCTGTTAAATCTATATTAAATTAAAATAAAATCTTGATAGCTTTTTTTCTGCCATCGAGAGGCATAAAAATATTTACTCCATGGGCGGACAGAACCCAGAAGCAAATCGCACGGCCACCTCCACTGCTCTGCGTGCCAGCCTCGCTCGTGGCGTCGCTGTTTCGAGCTCCGACCTCAGCTCCTCCTGCACCTCTGCGCTGGCCTCTTCTACCTCGGCTTCGACCACACTATGTCTCTCGCCCCATGTCGCCATTGCTCGGCCACATCTCTGAGCCACCCTCGGCCTCCGTTTCTGCGCCGCCGGCTCCCTGCTCTGAACCACCGTTGGCTGGCTTTAGCTTCTCCCTGAACAGCTCTTCTCCTCCGGCGCGCATTCAAGTGCCGCCTCCGCTCTTGGCTCGCTGTAGCTCGGTGACCGGCCTCGGTCCCCGCCACTCCTCCACCGCAGCCCTGCCTCCTCTTCTTCTGGCCAGCCTCCAACCGCCGCCCTCCTCCTCCGGCGCAAGCTGCCAACCGGCCTCCAGCGGCCGAGATGCCAGTCCAATTGTCGCTCCTGTGTGCATAGCACCACGCCTGCAGTCTCTCTTGCTATGATAGCATGAATCTATACTTTACTTTTCAAGTTTTAATCTGATTACTGCAATTTTTATATACATGTTAAGTTGACACTCTACTATTTATTGTAGCTTTTATTTAAATTTCTTGGTTTTATCATAGTAATAAAAAAGATTATAGATCGTAGGTTACCTTCTTGTTTCTTACAATAGCGTTAATAGTCCATCACTTTGCACCGTCACACTCAACATATTGAATTTCTTGTATAATAGATTTATATGCATTGTTTAATAAACCGTGAGTGCTTATAATCAAAATACCAACACTACAACAAATAATGATTTTAGGATGCATGCCATTTTATTTCCAGAGGAGGACAAAATTTTGGTGTCTCCCCAAATCTCTAATGCATTATAGAGATATCCAACCAATTTTAGGAGGCACTCCAATAAAACCTGTTCCTGTAAATCGATTAATAGAGGTTGGCCTCTTAAGGGAAAAAAATTCGAAGGACCATCCCTACCACGACACCGTACAGATGTATGGCTAACGCGGCCCATGGAGCAACTAATTCACCATGTGTGCGCTTTTAAATGATATTGTGGCCCACAATTCAGGCTTGATACGTCGTCACCACGTCTCCGGTATGAAAGGTCCGCACCTAATTTTTTTTTCCTCTTAAGAGGTCTACCTCTTTGTCCTCACCAATTTTCCCCTCTTAAGAGGTCTACCTCTTTGTCCTCACCCAATTTTTTTCCTCTTAAGATGTCTACCTCTTTAGAGGTAACACATCTCACTGACATCGAGTTGAGAGCATGTAATGCAAGCAAACCCTAGCGTCCCATCTTGGGATCTCTGTCTCCATCTAACTCTAACGGTTTTGAAAATTATCAAGCTCTCGTCTTCTTCCTCCTCAAAGATTTAAAGATGACGCAGCGGCAAGCGGTGGCCCCAAGGCCCACGCCTCTGATATCTGTGGATGGCGGCATCTTCCGCACCACCATCGCATGGCATCTTCAACTCTTGTGGCGGTGTCTCCCTCCTCCTGCGGCAACATTGACTCCAAGATCTTCTGCCGTGCTCCCCTCCGCCTCTTAGATCTGCAGAAGATGCTTCCTCTCTCGAACTCATTCCCAGTGGCGCTCTTCTACTGTTCTCTCTCCTCTCCATCTCCCCACTCTCTCTTCCTCTCAACGCAGCCTATGAGGCATTAGCTTCTAGATCCGTGTGGCTCCAGCAGTAGGAGCGCTTGAGGGCCGGTGGGGTGGTGGCATCGACAGCACGATCGGGTGTGGCCGCAGAGGTCCCCTCGATCTAGCAAGATCCGCCAAGGGAGATGCTGAGTAGAGTGCCCTAGCCTTGATTTGTCGAGGGGAGGAGGAGGAGGCCGATGGCTCGCACCATGAGTGGCGAGCTTAGTAGTTGGCTTAGCGGTGCACTCAGCTCCACCCCATTGTTTTTCTGGATTAACACAAAAAGCCGCACCCAAGGTGCAGCTGGGAGAGCCTCTGAGCCTCAATGGCTCGGGGCATGTCCTCTCTTCGCCTGGGCCTTGGCATGGCATCGTAGAGGCGGGCAGGAGCCAAGGGTCGGGCTCATGGCAGTTGTTGATTGGGAGCCCAGGGCTCGGGCAGAGCCAGCCTTGAGCAGAGAGGCGTGGCGTGCTCAGTGCTCGGCCGGGTTTCTTGGTCTGAGGGCGCGAACGCATTCCCGATGGATATAGCCCCGAGCCCTCGGGTGATCCTAGAGGGGTCGGTCAGGGGTCTCTTCGGTCGAGAACCATTGATCCCGATGCTTAACATACACATATGTTAGGATCTGGTCACATGGGTTGATGGACTAGTACATCTGAATTATATTCTAGCTGAATGTGGTGCTGGTCTAGACTGCAGCCTCAAGAGATTCCTCGCACCGCTTTTTTGGGGGTGGGGAACTGATTCTGCACCGTTGTCAATCTGCTTCATCACCCCCATGATGGGGTCGATCTTCACCGCCATGATGTGGTCGATCTGCACTCCAATTATGGGATGCAATGCAGCTGCATCCTCTGAATTCTGAGCCAAGTCCAACTAACCAGCACATTTGTTGACGCCTAATGAGAGGACCAAATTTCTCTTGTTTCAACGGCTAGATTAAGTCAGGTACCCAATTTGGTAGTTCACATGTAGAATTGTATAGTTCATATCAAACATACAATGTTTTCTGAATATGTCGAATTCTACAATACAGCAAAGTAAGACAAATTATTGCACCTTTCTCATACAGAAAATAAAAGTATATAGTACAATTCCTTGAATAGCCAAATAGCGCTAGAAAGTAGAGAACGTGATCTGACCAAGCATGCTTGCACTATTGCTTTCTTCATCAGGGTAGTTGCTTGCATTTATCCAGTAGTTTGGCTGCTTTGCTCAATTCATTCACGACCTCAGCCATTGTCGGTCTCTCGTCGACATCATACTTAAGACTTTGAATCGCCAGAGCACCTATCTTGTCAAGGCACTCTATGCAATATTGACATTGAGCACCGTCATGAGATAAAATGTTTCTGTCGTACATCTCCCTTCCATTGCCCTTCTGCTTAAAAAACATGGAAAAGTCCATGGGGAGGCTATTGGTGTTATCTTGGCCATAGTTGACCGTCTTCCGGGTGATCAACTCAAGAAGAACAATTGAAAAGCTATAGACATCACTCTTCGCCACAAAACGATGTGTCTTCATATACACTGGGTCTATATAACTTATATCTGCGGCCACAGCCCTGGCATACATACCAACTGACAAAAGCTTGGACGATCCAAAGTCAGAGACCTTGGGCATCAGGTTGTCATCCAGGAGGATGTTGGCAGATTTGACATCACCGTGGATGCGGTCCTGGTCACCGTGTGAGTGCATATAAGCAAGAGCTTCTGCAGAGCCAATGGCAATGTTGAGTCGAGTCCACAGCGGGAGCACCTTATCCCTATTGACATGAAGCAGGTTGTAGAGGCTCCCATTACTGATATGCTCGTAGACCAGGACAGGAATATTTGTCTCTAAGCAACACCCAACAAGGCGAACCATATTTGGGTGGCTGATTCGGAACTGAAGGTGATCTCATTGACAAAGTCATCCCTTGCTGAACTGGACCTCGACCTCTCCTTTGTTGTCTTCGTCATTAGATCGTTTAACTGCAACTCGCTGCTTGTCGTCGATTGTTCCTAAGAATACGGTGCCGAAGGCACCTTTTCCGATGCGGGTACTGTAGTTGTTAGTTATTTTCTTCAGCTGAACTTCTGTGAATATTACGATGGCAGCTGCTTCCTTCAGTATAATACCCCCGTTTTTGTCGAAGCATGCTATCTTTATTCGCCGCTTCCTATCCTTGTAGATGAACCAGAGCAGGAGTGCCAGACAAGAGCTTGCGACCAGTGTTGCTGCAAACACGTACAGGTGCATCCACACATTTAATGGCGATAGTTGTATGCGACATTAGAATCCTACTGCATTAAATTAATTTCAATTTGCATGCTAATGCATGCCATGCGTCTATGATTTTCGTGTGTAAACTGCACAGTAAGGCAACACTCTTACAATCTTCTTAGTATATATACATCATGCTTTCATATATAATCATGCTTTCTGAGAAAATTCTAACCATGCCTGTTCTGCAACCAAGAAAATTCTACTACAGTTTTTCGACTGTGAACCTTACAAATTTTTTTGAAGGAATTTGTTTGATTACAGACAATGTTTACACCTTTGTAGAAAAGAATATATTAATTAGTAGAATCTGAATGAACCAAAAAAATGATGGACCATACAAAATGAGAAATCCATGATACTTTTGATATACCACTCCCTCCATCCCAAAATAAATCAATTTATATAATTTATCTATGTCGCAAGATCCAAAAGTTAGACCAAATGAGCATAAGTATTTATGGCATAAAATTTATGTACATTGTGGAATATAAATTCATGATGTATTCATTTAGGGTCATAAATGTTGTTATTTATTTCTATAAAATTGGTCAAACTTAAGATAATTTGACTTAGGATAGCCTCTAGAAGTTAATTTACTGTGGGATGGAGGAGGACTACTATTAGAAAATTCAATGATCATATGAGTGATTAAAATTCAAACATCGTTTGAGTGATTTCTCTGCTCACCTAATATTGCAGCAGCAGGGGCGGGAAATATGGGACGACAATCCTTTCCTCTCCGACCGAGTTTGCATCGACACTTGTAGCTACCTTCTGTGTCAATGCATTCGCTGCCACTTGGACAAGAATTCAATTCTGGATGTTCGCATTCATTGACATCTGTATATGTATAATTGGTGAATATGAATGCATTATGACTAGACTTACTGTATAATAGAAGTTTTTGTAGTATTTGCTGCAGCATTGTTCAAAATTTTGTAATGTAATAAACTCCTCCTGACTTGAGTACTAGCTATATAATTTTGTAATGTAATAAACTCCTCCTGACTTGAGTACTAGCTATAGCTAGAATATATCTTTAACTTTGAACTTTCGAGATAATAAATTAGATGTGTTATTAATTTGAACATCAAGATTTCAAGTAAGAACCTTTTAAGTAGCAATTTCCTTTGAAACTGTATTGTATTCCTCAGTTCTAGAATGATAAGTGTATTTTGTATGGAGAAAAGTCAAATTTTGGGTACCTAGAACAAAAATTAGTCGGATTATATATAAATTTAGAGCATAAAATTAGCATTATTACATCTTTATTCAAAGTACCTCTGATATGATACTTATATTTTAGCAAATGATAAAATATTACAATAGAAATTTTAGCTGGTTATCTATTCCATATGGCTTCTCCCAAATCAAAATATGCTTATTATTCTGGGTCAAATGGATAATCCTATTCAAAGTCAGCACTGCTACATAAACAATTTGTGGAGATGGCTAAATTAATTTTAGAGATGATGTTTACAACTATCTCTTGGCAAGCATTTGTGGAAATAAGAAGTTTCGACCCATCATGGTTTTAATTAATATTTGGGCCACTAAATGTTCCGTGAAGGCAAAGTTATCAACTACAAACTTATGATCCAAAATGGCAAAAGGTGTGACATACAAATTTGTTGATGTCTACATGAGGACTACAAAATTTTTATAGAGCATGTCTCTGTTCAAGGCAGTTCGAAAACTCCAAAATTTTTATTGAGATTTGGAGAAATTGTAATGAATGTTTAGGCACTGACACTAGTAGAGAACAGGCCTTTGATCCTCGGCCAAAATGGCCTCTAGTCCCGAATTTTTTATGCTCGATTAGAAATACCTTTAGTCCCGGTTGGTGTCTCCAACTGGGACTAAAGGTCCCCGCCTCTAACGGCCATCAAGGCCAGACAGAGGTGGCGGGGACCTTTAGTCCCGGAGTTGAGCCACCAACCGGACTAAAGGTATACTTTTATCCCTGTTGGGGCTCCAACCGGGAGTAAAGGTCTACTCCCGGCCGTGGCTGCGCCCGGGCTTGAAAAGTTACCTTTAGTCCCGGTTGAAGCCACCAAATGGGACTAAAGGTCCCCCTTTATATCCCGGCCGGCTCCTCCTTCCTCCCGAGCCCGAGCTCAAAGACATTTTGAAGCTCACTGCAGTGTGTTCTTGCTTCCTCCCTCCTCCATTGTTCCTCCATCCATTATTCGATTCCTCCATCGATTTCTTCGATTCCTCCGCGATTCTTCATTGTAAAGGTTACCAATCTCATACTCTCATTTTTTCACCATTGTCTTATCTCATTTTGTTCACTATATATATATATGGTTCTTTATTTTGGTTTTTTTTTCATTTGTAAGCAATTTGAGCTCAAAATCACTTCAAGCTTGCATATTTACATGAAATAAGGTTAAAGTAGCTAGTTGAACTTGCGGACCGTGTTCATCTCGGCGAAAGCACGTTTCTCCGCCGAGCGATAACGGACGTCAAGGAGGAGCTTTGATTCTACAAGGGAGAGCGGCAACGGTCGTGGAAGACCGTGTTCCCTTCCTCATAAATTGGAGCTCTTCCGTGGTCAAAATCACGGTGCCCGTCTGTGGAGACATGCTCACCGAGATGATCACGTAAGCAAGGTCAACTAGTACTGATGGTTATTTATTCACATGTCCCGATATCGCCGCAGTAGTCCGTCAATCACCATACCCAAACGTAGTATATATATAAATATAAACTTAGAAAATAGTTAGAAAATTATAGAAAATCCATACTAGTTGAACTTGCGGACCGTGTTCATCTCGGCGAAACACGCTTCTCCGCCGAAGCGGTAACGGACGTCAAGGAGGAGCTTTGATTCTACGAGGGAGAGCGGCAACGGTCGTGGAAGACCGTGTTCCCTTCCTCGTAGAATTGGAGCTCTTCCGTGGCCAAGCTGGTGGTGCCTTCCGGTGGAGAAAATGCTCACGAGAGATGATCACGTAAGCAAGGTCAACTAGTATGGATGGTTATTTATTCACACATCCCGATATTGTCGCATGAGTCTGTTGTGTGTACACTCCCATTCTTCTCCGTTAATTTGCGTAAATATCATGTGAATTACTTACCATGCAAGAAAAGATTTGAGAACACAATGACCATTAAAAATATCATTGTTTAGAGATCTAGATAATTTTATAGTTTCTTAATTTTATTTGTTTATAAAAGGAGAAATATATAGTGTATTAAAAATGAGTATAGAGAGTAGATGGCAATCGCTTTCCGGTCCTCGGCCTCTCATGGGTTTCCAAAGCGACTTAGGCCGGGCCTCCTCTCATTTCATGCGGCAAGTGTCGTGATGAGACGAAGATTGTGATGGAGTACCGATTGAAGAAGGAGGGTCCCAACAAGGATCGTATCTTCTACAAGTGTCCGGATCGCAATGTGAGTTATTTTATCGTATTTAATGATTATGGTTAGTTTATACCTATTTTCATGATGGTTGTGATTAAAGTTCTAATTTTTGTTTTAATTTCAAAGGGATGGCAAAGTGGGCGATGTTCGAGCTTCTCTTGGGAGGAAGAGTATGTTGGACTCGTGCAAAAATATCTTGCACAATAGGCGAATCTGACGGCTAATAAGGCGTTGATCCAAATAGAAGAAGCCCAAAGATGTTGCACAATCGGGGATCCATGCATGCTTTAGTTGAGATTGGTCGTGAAATCCTACACGCTACTGAAATGTATTTTAGCTTTAGTTCTTTTAGTGGTAGTTGGGATTGTCTACATTGTAGCGATGCTTTTATAAATTTGTATCTTTTGTGGTGGCACGCATGTTGTATAAATAATTAATTATGATCTAGGTTTTAATATGGTATTTATGTCATGTAATGCGAGATGAGCCGTCATTGGATGTATAATGTTGATCGCCGCTCCCAAGAGTTCATTGACGGCGTGCATTCTTTATTACGTCATGGCCGAGGCAAACAAACGTGATGGTTTCATGTGCTGCCCATGTGCCATATGTAAGAATACGGTGGAATATCCTTGCTCAAGGACTCTTCATTCACACTTGTTCAAGTCGGGTTTCATGCCAAACTATATTTGTTGGACAAAGCACGGAGAAACCGGTGTTGTAATGGAAGAAGGTGAAGAAGAACAATGGGACGACAATGATATTATTCCCGATGGTGCGTGCTTCAATGATACTGCAATGGGAGAAGCTGGAGAAGAGGTAGCCGCAGAAGATGAGCCGGCTGATGATCTTTCTCAGGTCATTCGTGACGCACAAAGAGAATGTGAAAGTGAAAAGGAGAATATCAAGTTCGAGCGGATGCTAGAAGATCACAAGAAATTGTTGTACCCAACTTGTGATGCAGGGCAGAAAAAGTTAGGAACCACACTAGAATTGCTGCAATGGAAGGCAAAGAATGGTGTATCTAACAAGGGATTTGGAGAGTTACTAAAAATTCAAAAGAAGATGCTTTCGAAGGATAATGAATTGCCCGCCACTACCTACGGAGCAAAACAAGTTGTCTGTCCTATGGGGCTAGAAATAGAGAAGATACATGCATGTCCTAATGACTGCATCCTGTACCGTGGCAAAGAGTACGAGAAATTGGATGCATGCCCGGTATGCCATGCGTCGCGGTATAAGATCAGGCGAGATGACCCTGGTGATGTTGAGGGCGAACGTCCGCGGAAGAAAATCCCTGCCAAGGTTATGTGGTATGCTCCTATAATACCACGCTTGAAATGTCTGTTCAGAAACAAAGAACATGCAAAATTGTTTGGTGATGGAAACATTGAGAGTGCGGCGGAGGTTGATATTTGGAAGAAAAAATTTGTACTAGGCCAGAGTCTATACAACCCTCAAGCCTTATCTGATCTGGGGACGCAAATGTACACCGCTAAACAGTGGTACATGCAAAGGCGTCTACCAATGGAGACTTCGCGTTGGTGTCGAAATTAGAGACGAACATTGGTTCCGTGGCGATGATGTTATGTATGTTGACTTTGCGTAATTTCATCAACTATGCCACCGACCTCTCTGGACAAAGTTATCATTAGTCGCTATTGCCTGTAAGTAATAATTCTTTTCGATCTATTATTAAACTCATCATATGTGTGTATATGCATATAAATTATCCTAACAAGTACTATATATATGCAGATTTACAATGATGAGCTTTCGAAAGGAAGGCTGCAATGAAATTGGTTTTGTTGATCCCCATATAGTATTCAAGACCCAATTACTCCAAAGACTAATTGAAAGTCTGAGTCAGAGAGTAACCTCATGAACTTCTTAGTGAACCAACGCCACAAGAAGGATATACTCTTTTCCTATAACTTCAAGTGAGTGTTAATCATGTCGATCATATCCTTAATGGCTCATATGTTGATTTTAGTTAATTAATGAGTGTTATGCGTTATATCCTATAAACACATGCAGCAATCACTGGATATTGATGGACATCGATCTGGTGAAAAGTCACTTGATAATCTATGACTCGATGAGAAAACCACAACAAGACTACCAAGATATGATAGATATTATCCAGAGGTAATTTCGGGATCTCTAGCAACTATATATACACACAAACATGATGATTAACTATATCTGATGACGTGGCAAATTTTTTATTGGGCAGTGTTTGGAAAACCTTTATTGAGAAGCAACACATGAAAAAATGCAAAGCGCCACTGAATGTAATCCCTTTGAAAGTAAGTCCCCTGAATCGCATCATCTTTATTAATTAAACATATAGCTTTCACCGGATCACCAGATTGGATGACAAATTTTTTTCTCGTAAAGTGGTGTCTAAGGCAGGAACAGGGGAACAACTACTGTGGTTACTATGTTTGCAAGTTTATCAAGGTGCTCTCCCAAAGAACTCCTACAGAGAGACTCAAAGTACGTTAAAAATACACTATATATTCATTTAATTATTATTATTGATTGTGTTACTATGTCTTTATATATATATATATGTACATATATTAATTTATTTTCCTTTAATTCAAACCTGTAGACTCGATGGTTGGAGGAAAAGGTCATACGGCAAGACTAAATCAAAGCAATTCAAGAGTGTATAGCTGGATTTTTTAATGAGCAAATCATCGATTCCAAGGGCGAGTTCTACTTCGACCCAACACTGCCATTGAAGCCAAGCTAGAGGATGAGAGGAAACTTGTTATGTCACAACAACTGTAATGCAATCTTTTGTAATATATGCACATGAAATAATATAATGTAAAATACACATATGCATGCATGCATGTAAATATATATATGATGCATGCATTCATATATATATATATATATATATATATATATATATATATATATTTCTATGCTTGAATTGTGTGATTTAATATGTTCATTGTGCTTGAACCGAAACATACTATATGCGCGTATAAATGTATAATTAGCAGCGTACAATACGATTTCGAAAACCTATTTTGAAAAGAAAACAAAAAATGAAAAGAAAAGAAAAAGAAAAAAACCTTTAGTCCTTTTCAGATACCAACCGGGACTAAAAGTGCCGCCATATCGTGGCATGTCGAGGCACCTTTAGTCCCGGTTGGTGTTACCCACCGGACTAAAGGTCCTCCTTAGTCCCGGTTCCTTTCCCGGGACTAAAGGACCCCTTTAGTCCCGGATGCTTGCTCCCGGGTGGGGAAACCGGGACTAGAGGGGTTCCCAACCGAGTAAAGCTTCGGTTCTCTACTAGTGTGAACAATGTCTAATTTAAAAGTTATCTTCTTACAAAGTTAGAGATCTTGTCGGCTATGTAATTTAGGTACAAAGTTTGTCCTTATCTAACTTCATCATATGTAAAAGTGTTACAAGATGCTTGCAAGGAGGTAGATATTAATTACTAAATTGCTCCAAATTATAGTTCGTTTGACTTTTTTTTTATCTCAAGTTTGACCACTGTCTTATTTAAAATTTGTGCTAAATATCACTTCTTTTGTTGTAGATTGCTTTATTAACAAAAGTTCTCAAAAAATGACTTAAATTTGACTATATTTGCATAAATTTTTTAAATAAGACGAACAGTCAAACTTTGAGTCAAAAAAGTCAAACGAATTATAATTTAGAACGGAAGAAGTACTTACCAGTGCATCCTCCACCTCCACCATCGACGTAGGGGTTACCCTCGTAGCCTTTGGTACAGTTGCAGAAGTACCCAGGGCCGTTGGTTGAGTCGACGCACTCGCTGTGGCTGCTACGACAGGCATACCCTGGCTTGCTATCTGCCTGAGCGCAGGAGATGGAGCCACTGTCGCTGTCGCGGATCGCCCAGTCGAGGCGGAGCGGCATGCTCCAGTCCACGCGCTGCGGCGTGGTCTGGTTACTCGGCACGTGTGTTGTCAGGTCGGATGCTGAGAAGTTGTAGCTGCCCTTCTCCACGATGAAGGCATAGTCGCAGGGGCAGAACTCCTGGTCGGCGTGCGACCAGTAGCCGTCACCGAACATGCTCATGGTGGTGTCCGTGAGACCTGGCGGGATGTCGACGTGGCAGCAGCCGAGGCCCGCACAGGCACCGTCCTGGGGGTCATCAGTGTCGTTGGTGACGGACACGCATCCGGAGTAGAACTTGTAGTTGAAGCGGCTGGCGCCGCCCTGGTTCTTCACGCCCTTGACATAGATCAAGGTGTTGCAGCCGATCACGTAGAGCTCGTTGTAGATGTTGGAGATGCGGTACACGCCCGCCTCGTTGAAGTTGACGTTGCCGGGGTAGAACCCAGTTCTGCCGCCGGTGGAGTTGAAGCACTGCCATGCCACCGGCAGGAGCACCCGGGCCTCTGGCAATGGCGCCACGGACAGGCTCAGCACTGGGATGGTCTGGTTGGTCCTCGCTAGCACCGGAATTTCACCGCCGCCGGCACTGCCGTTGTTCATGCAGCGGATCTCGAACCCTTGGCGGAAGCAGGCCTCATCGCCGATGCCGAACGGGTAAGGTATACCCACGCCTCCACAGCTCCGCTGGCAGCCTGGCATCACGGACACGCTGCTGTCGTCTGTGCTGGCAGCCGCCGTTGCTGCAAGGAGCAGCACGAGCAGCAGGAGTGATGGCGACATTATTAACGGCTTAGACAACTTGGAGCGCGCGTATTGCGTTGCCAACGGCCTCTGATTGGTGGCTTTGCATTGCAAGGTAGGTACTTTGCTTTGATTGTGTTGTGTATCACCGGAGGCGAGCCTGCTAGTGTTTAAGTAGATCGAAGAACCAGCAGGTGCGCAGCCAGCCAATGCTCACAGACTCACAGTCAGTCAGTCACACGGAGAGGAAGAAGAAACCCCCATGAATGTTCCCCGCACGCCACAGTCTCCTTCCAATAAGACTTTTGGTACATTTTTGGTGTATGGTTGGGCAGATTAAGATTACAATTCGCACACTGAAGAAACCTTAGACATGGGGAATAATGAACTCATTAATATAACAAACTCGTGCACTGAAAGCAATGATTTATGTTTGGTGTAGAGTGACTTGGATTAAATGATGCCTTTTGCGCTATGTTTTTTCTGGTAGCTTGAGGAACCACAGCGTTTCTTCAGATAAAATGACTTGATGAAATCATCCAGGGATCGCATGCATACATCACTGAGTCAAGTGTAATATTATTTCATTGTTGGTCTTTATGTCGCCATCAACTGGTACATGTGGTTTTGGTTGTAGGTCGCTGCACATGCATGGAGGATTTGGTGACAATACTACTGCAATACAGTTTTCAGTGGGCGAGGAACAAGCTGCAGTTAGCCCACTTGTGTTCTGTTCTTCACTCTTCCATCGCATATAGAAGGTAGCCGCCTTCCGAGACACACAAACACAATAATGACGTCACACAGCTGCAAATTGGAAGAATAGTGTTCAGTTTTCAATCTTCTCAAACGAATCTTAATGAGTTGGGAGTCTTAATCATTTTGTCCGAACTAGAATTCCTGACCGTGATCAAACATTTTGTGTTGTTGTTGGACCGATTAACATACACAAACTAACCTTCCATAGAAAACATCGTTTAAAGCTAAAGCTTTAATGGAAAGGGGTTTTATATGGCTGCTATGTTGCTTCCCTCAGCATGACTATAGACGAAGAATGGCAGCAGCTTGGACGACTGGCGGTTTATTTGGTGGTAGTGATGATGTTGAGTGGTACATGGACTGTTGAAGATTCTTGCCCTGAGCAACCTGGATGTGTGAATCGGGAAGCAGCCAACGTCGGCCAGCTGGGTACACTGGACCCTAGCAGTGCCGCTTGCTTTGCCTGCACCACTGGTGTACCACTCCCACACACCCATGAACATTGTAGGCACTATATTGCTGAAATCTAAATGTGAGTCGAAAATATTGTACGAAATGCATCATTGTTGGATCTTTAAAGCCATCTGAAAAGTCCCAAGTGCTGACTACTCCGTCCATTTCAAATTATAAGACATTTTATATTTTAATTTTTGATATGCACTTATATAAACTATGTCTAAATGCATATATAAAACTCATGAGCAACCTCCTTTTTATCTTCCACCACCAGCAGTCAACACAACCAAACAACGATAACTAACTGGAATAGGCAGGGACCCTACCAACAAGCGAACAAGCGATGTGACCAGGCAAACAACCAGTGGGACAGCGGAGAGAGCCGCCATGAGACGACCCGGACGTACATGCTAATAATGTGATAAGACAACGCCTTTAGTTTGGTTCGCCACCCGTTCGGTGATGCAGGGCTTCACGCTACTGGTAACAAGAATATTGTGCTCCTACACTCTACTCAACCTAAGTTATTGTAATTAATCTGTGTGTGGCACGCACACTATGCAAAAAAAGATAACAGCAATATTAATTAATTTCTGTATCTTAAACCAAAGCACGTCACTGTAAATAATGGCCACTAGCTGCCTTCTGAACCTGCAATAGTCCGTCACTAAGCATAAGGCTGACTATTCAGTGGGTCATAACTTAACTCATAAGTGGAAGCCTTCAAGACACTCTTGGAAGAAGCCCAGATTTTCCGGTGTGCCAAACACCGTCAAAGAAGGGTCTTGCTATGATACTAATTTAATTAGATCGGATGGTTAATATCATCTATTATTTTCTAGGAGGTAAGAGTTAGAATATATATTTATTTAAATTTCAATTTTGGGAAATAGGATGGTAAATCTTTTTATTTTTTTGCAACTTTAGATATGACTTAATTTAGCGTACAACTTTACACGGTATATTCATGCATGACACTATAACAGAACATGCAATCACTGTTGGGATGGAATCCCTCATCACTGTTGGAATTCCGTCCGGCAGAGAATATTCTCCAGTGACAGGGTGGCCTACCAATGCTGGTTTTCTACCCGGACGTGATGAGTATCACTATTGGGTTCAAACATGAACCGGCAGTGGTTTTATGAGTGTCACTGTGCGGTCATGCTTTGAACTGGTAGGAACATTCATGATACCACTGCCTGTTAGTGCTTCAACCCGACAGTGATACTATCATATTATTGTCAGATCATTGCCATGTCCTGTGGTGATTTGTTGAGTGTCATTGTCAGCTCAATACCACACCTACCAATTATTATTATAGCGCACCAAACAATTATACTGCAATGAAGAGAATTCTCATTGCCATCACATTTTCACAAGTTTCGATTTATGAATACATTAGAATTAGAAAATCATATATATACTCAACAGGTAGAGATGAAGTCATTACAAAACAAAGTCTCACTCGAACAAACTAAGAGAGCACAACCACCACTACTGGTCACCAAGTGCCCTGACAAAACCATCCCCTAATGTTTATCCAAGCACATCATTTAAGTATATCAATGCATGAATCAGTGCAGTCTCTTTATCCTCACAAGTGAGAGCACACGGTCTACCATAGATGAACAAACTGGAGGCACTATAAATGGGCTAGGACCTAAAGCAAAATGCAAATAACCCTGCAATCCATGTGAGGTGGGCCTTGAACCTGTATAGTACCAGTAGGACTCGAGTTTCTCCATGTCTTGAGATAGAATGGAGTGGAGGCTACACGCTGGGTGATTCGAATCATGATGTGGAACCTTCAAAAGAAATAAAATATGGGCACCAAACTTGTGTATATATAGTGTTGGCGCAAAAATATGGCAATGCAACGATCTGAATGGAATAAGACTGGAGATCTGCTTGGCTTCAACATAGGACTAATCGATTCTGACGGCGTGCCAGTCAATTTGACCTGCAATTGATAAGGAAAGAAAATCTTATCATTAATTTAAGGTGGAACATGTCGGTGTTGCTCTAGACTGTTGCAAATACGCGGCTAAACAACCGATTCGATGGGGCTATCGACTAAATAGTCGATATCCAACACATCAGCAAAGCAAGGATCACTGAATTGAGAATTATGTCTAAACCTTAGAACGACCATTTTCTACTAGGCTTGCATCATACAGTTAGCATTGCTCTGATACACACCATATGTGAGTCCAGGAAGTCAAATCTCACATATAGCTACAAATAAGGGTATTATCATAAGACAATGCTTATTATATAACGTATTATTACAAGAGATATAATCTTAGACTGCAAACAGCGGAAAGACACTCCATTCTTCATCAGGCGAAGACTCCAATTCCATAGGGACAACTGACTAGTTGATCACAAACCTAACTTCTCCAGACTCTAGCAATCTGGTACGGGATTTTTCCAAATATTGAAAATAAACAAGCGTAAGTACATGTGTCGTTCTCAAAGAATATAACGTGTGGTTCATGAGGCTCAAAAGACTTGACACAGGTTTAACAACATATAGCTTTTAATTGTCATAATTTTAGCATAAGAGTAGCGACAAGTTGTCATAATTCCCAAAGTAAACACATGATGAAAGTAAACATGATGAATGAATAGCATAAACAAGTGATATATAGTGATCATCTATTCCATAAGGGTTCCAAGGCCACTCGTGACTGTGAGCACGACTATTATAACAATTTTACACTCTGCAAAGGTTGTACACTTTCATTGTGAGTCGTGATTACCCATACGCTGGGGTCATGACTCACCAAAACACTACTAAGGTGAGCAAGCGTGGTACGCTATGAAGCCTTTCAATGGTTCGCCTAACAAGTTAGGGCCGCTAGGTTTCTATACCACCGCAAATATAGGGCTCCCTTCCCAATGGCACATTTCGCGCACAGCTATACACACAAAGACAGGTGGTCGTACTACACCCAACCGTAAACACACCCCATTTATGCCATAAAGGTAACCTCTAACAAGTTAGAAAAGGTCCTTGTACTAAGCTAAAGCTAGAGCCATGTGGCCCTCATAGTTGTACAATAGAAGTCCCGGATGATCACTTACAGATCGGGTCTTTAGGAAGAGGAATCTAGAGCATTTAGAAAGTAGCTAAATACTCCAAATTTCCCTATTTCCATGTTGCTAAAAAGTCATGTTTTAACATTTATTGTATATTCCATTAGTCAAGTTACAAGATCATGGTTTAGTTGAGCACTAGCAATAGCTACCCAATGCATATACCCATAGGTGACAAGGAATCCAGGATATCAAATAGCTAGGAAAACCACTACGGTTGTCAAGGTAGACACATCATATGATTAAGTTGTTAAAGTGAATAGGACAACAAGGACAATCCCATGTTATACTTGCCTTGATCAAAGCGTTTCTGCTAATCCTGCTCGTCAAAATAGTACCCTTGATCACCCACAAATTTCTCACCGTCTATACTCGATCATCACAGCAACATACAATCATCCAGGAGCAATCATGCATAGCAAAACAAAGCTATAGATTAGAACAGTACACCAACAGCATAAAATCAAGATAAAAAGTTTGTAAAATGAATCTAACTCTTGCTATGAACACGCAGACGCGAAGATCACGAAAATCAGAGCTAAAACGAAGAAGTTATGGATTAAACAAGATTTCCTTTAATAAAATAATAGATTAAATCTAACTCTGATTTTCAAAAGTGGAAAACATGTATAACAGTAGGATGAACATGTAGAGTACGCAATTACGAACCTAACGCAAGTTGAACGGGTCAAACGGAGCTAAAACGAAGATTCTATGGCTAA